GTACATACCGAATTAAGGTGAAACCGCGAATGGCTCATTAAATCAGTTTTGGTTTCTTAGATCGTACAAAACATTACTTGGATAACTGTGGTAATTCTAGAGCTAATACATGCAAACCAGAATTCCACCCAGAGATGGGAGGAATGCTTTTATTAGATCAAAACCAATCGGTGGCGGACGGCTTGTCCGTTCGTCATCGTCGGCTTTGGTGACTCTGAATAACTTTGTGCTGATCGTATGGTCATCTAGCACCGACGACGGATCTTTCAAATGTCTGCCTTATCAACTGTCGATGGTAGGTTCTACGCCTACCATGGTTGTAACGGGTAACGGGGAATCAGGGTTCGATTCCGGAGAGGGAGCCTGAGAAACGGCTACCACATCCAAGGAAGGCAGCAGGCGCGCAAATTACCCACTCCCGGCACGGGGAGGTAGTGACGAAAAATAACGATACGGGACTCATCCGAGGCCCCGTAATCGGAATGAGTACACTTTAAATCCTTTAACGAGGATCCATTGGAGGGCAAGTCTGGTGCCAGCAGCCGCGGTAATTCCAGCTCCAATAGCGTATATTAAAGTTGTTGCGGTTAAAAAGCTCGTAGTTGAATCTGTGTGTAATAGAAGTAGACCGGTAAATCAATTAAAAGGAAGGAAAACAAAGTATTCCCATTAGGGCGCCTTGAGGAACAACAATTCCTGTCAAAGTATAAAGAAAATTGCTGCGCTCACTTACTTACTTGACAGCTGAACCATATCAAAATGGGTTAGGAAAGTGCAATATTGTCAAAGCCGGACTAAGTAAATGTAAATTTAAATTTATAATGTATAATTTGTATATGGATTAATATATATTAATATAACCAAGACACAGCATAGTAGTGACACCTAAGTCATCTCATAACACAATGCAACAGGAAACGCAGGATCAAACTGTCCTTAAAATATATATGAAGGTAACGCAGCACAATGAAACGTACATAATATATGCATTCAAACAACAAATCCATATAAACCAACAAATTCTAATAGATTCTAGTGAATTCCATTGAATCCATTATGTTCAGCATGCAATAAGGCCAATTAAACTACACTAAGGCATATAGACACATGTCATCACATAATAATGTAAATATGTAAATACGGCAGGTACGGTGAAATAAAACAAGCACTTGTCAAGTCGTTTAATTAATTTAACCTAATTTATTCAATATACCATATCCACCGCTGATCACCCCATTCGTTTATTCACTCAACTATAATAATATAATGGAATAGAAGATAGGGAGTTATATAATACAATACAATACAGTTTACAGTGTAGCACAAAATACTGACTAAGTATAACCTAATGTAACTGAAATAACTAAAATAACTGAATATAATCCAAAATCTGATATAATAATATAGTAATATACATATTCAATACTTTATTCAATACATAGATTGAATTAAACGGAGATAGAAGGTAATTGAATGTAATAAACATGAATACAAATATGACCATAATATAAAATGAATAATATAATATAATATATTATAATTTACTCAAAACGGAGTAAATAGCACCACTTTGAAACACATACACTGCAATGGAACACAATGCATCGCGGTGGAGCGCGCATTTCACCACAATCACCTTCGCACCAATTAAATTTTGATTTATACTTAAATAGAAGAATTAAATAATTAATTTAGTTAACACTCCACATCACAGATCACGGACGAGTACATAATGCACAAATTTGCACAATGCCCGGAGAATAGAAGAGTAAACACACGTCACCGAAAACTATGTTACCTAAGACTGAAAACCGGGCCGAGTAAAAGAGCGAAAACGAGACCATAAAGCATAAAACATAAAACAAAAAACATATAGAGATAGAACCTAGTGTTCATAAAATTAAAATTCCCTAGTTCACTCCATAATGGTTATCAACCGTCAATTATCCATCAAACCATCAAATTAAGTAATTAAGTAATTATAATAGAGTGTATATAAGTGCTCATAAGCGAAAAGCGAAATTGCATAAACAAAACAGTTTAAACAAATCAAAATGAATCAACATGACCAAAACCAAAGATAATGTACCTACAAACGATGACCATAAGCCGCAAGCTATGCCTAGTTGGTAATCAACCGCAGTACCAAGGATATTACCAGCAACAAATATTCCGTTTACCAGACAGTAATACTCGGCCACTCACTCCGCAACGGCTATCCACAGGCAAATTATCTACCGCGCAGTAGTTACCTACCACGCGCCAATTACCAATTACACAGTTACCGACTGCAGAACCGTCCATCGTGCTGCCGCGCAATCCTGGGAAACCGTACTTACCATCAGACTTACCATCAAAGATAAGTCTGGTATACAATACTATAATCGAAAAGATAATTATGCTAAATCAATGGGATCAGAGATAAACTTCAAACGGGCCAACATCAGGCATTAATTAATTATTATATAAAGAAATAAGTCAATATTATGGTTATAAATACATTACCTATATAAAACATCAAATAAGTTTGTGATAAAATAATAAGATAGAATATAATTATAGTTAAAACGCATAAAGTAGCCTGACACGATGGAAGTCAATAAAATAATTAGAAAAATAATAAAAATAATAAATCATAAAATCAGCCCGAATAAGTCCCGCAGATTGCGCAGATTGCAGGACGCACTGCGTTACTGCATGATAACGTCGCAAAGAAACAAATTATACAAAAGGCAATGAAGATAAAGGAAAACAACCGCCAAGGAATGAGAGGCCGAATAAATAATAAAATAAGACCCTAAACCAAAGCAAAATCAATATGAAAAGCATATAGTCAGGAAAACCCATGGAGCCATTCAGACAACACCCAGTCAAATGATATTAGTTAACAGAATAAATAAAACCAGAATAAAGTCAAGGCAGCAAGGCAACAAGCAACTGGCAGAAAGGAAATATGAGTCAGAAAATAAATCAAAATCAGATCAAATCAATGTATAACTATAATCAGGCAACATCAAAACATCAAAATGAATAATGAATAATAAATGAATAAATGAATACTGAATGCGAGAGGAAAAGCTGAAGATATTCACAAACTGAGGAACTACAGCAAATGAAAATGTGTAACGCTTAACAGACATAGCTGATATAATGTAGTATAATGCAAAATAATGTAAAAGAAAATAAGATAAATACAACAAGTGAGTTATATTCTAATTAAATATGACCGTAAACATTATTGACTCCATCCCCACTACTTTATAAATTATAGATTATAAATTGTAAGTGATTATGTCCATGCAAATGCAAATAGAAGGTAAAAAATTCATAACCGACTGATGTATAAAGATAGTAAATAATAAATATAATGACAAATCAAATATAACGTGCGTGGTTCAATCAGACACCACACCATTACATAGTAAAAGAATAAAATAAGGAATAACAGATAAATAAGTAAATAACCAAAGAAGTAGGGTATTTGAAATGAAATTTGAATGGTGTGATTATAACAGAAGCCACGCGCTGACAAGCTTTTGAATGGACAAAATCGTCTATCCTCTCAAGAAAATTAACCGTACTTAAATCCAAATAACTCTAAATAAATACTTGTAGATAATAAGCGAATGAATGAATGAGTGAGTGAGCAATAGAGCTATTACAGAAGTTAATCAAGTTAAGGCAAGTAGAGGCAAATAGAGAGAGTAAGGAAAGTAAAGAAAGTGTAAAGTATAGTATATAGACGGACGTGACGGACACAAAATAAAAGATTAGAACAAGATACATTGGAGTACATTCTACCAACAAGCAAATCCATACACTCATTCACACATCTCACACAGACGTAGTCATCCAATAAGGCTAAGTCAGGCAAATTTACAAAATCCATTACGTTGAATATGCAATGAGGCAGATTATATTATCCTAAACAGGCATAATATTAAGAAGAAGGTACGGTAAGACAAAATGAATACACTCAGCACTCGACAAGGCAACCAAGTGTTTCAGATATAACTGTCAATTAACTTTATTCATTAATTAGCAGTAGAAAGATAATGATGCAAAATATTACACAACATTACACAATACTAACTGAATTTATTGTAAATAATATGCAATATGCAAATTGGGTATAAGTATGAGTATAAAAATATGTATAAGTATAAGAATAATGAATATGTAAATATAAATATACAAATATATAAATAAATATAAATAAATACATATATATAATATATCAGAAAACGGAGCACAATAGCACATGTCACCACTCATTGCAATGGGTACACGCACAAATCACAAACACACACGCACCGATATTCAATATTCAATATTAATGGCCTAATCAGAACTCAGCAATTTAACGATTCAATTAATTCACGATCCTCCTCCATGTCACAACCGAGTATATGGCACATGGAGATGGAGTAAACCAGTGCCGCCGATGATCATGTCAACCAAAGATAAGAAACCGCGTGAAGCTTAAGCCATAAACCATACGCCATATAGATGCGTAACCTTCGAGGAATTTCGTAAAATTTACAGTTCGTCCCATTATGTCTGTTGTCTATTAAATTAGTTATCAAATTAATTAATTGATTATTACACGGAACGTACAAGCGCCCGCGACTAAATACATCAGTAAAACACTTTCAATAAATTACAGTGAACGAAACCAAACACGAATAGAATGCAACGGAAGGTAACGATAGCGGAAAACATTCCGGTATCTCACTAAATAAAGTAAAGTACGCAACACTATCCGTTGATAATAATTACAAATTATCCTTAGTTGGTAACCATCCGCAGCACCGGCAGCCAAATATTATCGGCCACAAGCATTCTACTTATTTACCATACAATACTCGGCCGTTCATCCCGTAACGGTTATCCACCGACCAACTATCCGCCGCGCAGCAGTTACCCACCGCGCGCCAGATATCTGCTACATCTCAGTTACCGACAGCTAAACTATCCGTCGCGCCACCGCGCCATCCTAGGAAGCCATACTTACCATCAGACTTACCATAAAAGATAAGTCCGATATCCAATACTATTCACGGAAAGGTAATTATAAACGGACAAATAAGACCCCAGACGGATTAAAATCATGAATAAATCAATTAATAAAACATTACCACGACTCACGGGAAAGGTAATTATAAAAGCAAACGGGCAACAAATAGAACCCCAGACGGATTAAAATCAAGAATAAATCAATTAATAAAACAATACCACGGCTATCATTTATTATTTATAAATATATAAATCATACGTTTGCAATAGTGTAGGATGAAGTAAATGTTAAGTATAAACAATGATGAAGATAGAATGAAATGAAAGAAATGAAATCAACCCGAATAAGATCCGCAGATTGCAGGACGCATCATGTTACTGCCTATCGCGCCGCGGGAAACAAACTACGCAGAACAACGAAACAAAGAAACCACCACAGAACGAAAGGCTGAATAAATAAACGAATGAAACATTCAACCTAAACAGAATCGAAATCAAATATAGCCATCTCACAACGTCAGATAACGCATATAGTCAGGAAAGTCACGTAGGACCAATCATGTAACACCCAGTCAGTTAATAAATAAATGTAACCAAAGTAGAATCAAAGCAACCAAGGCAGCAGGTAACTAGCAGAAAGGAAATATAAAAGAAAAGAAGAGAAAAGAAACAAACAAGGTAATGATTATAATAACGCATAATAAATTTAAACAAGAGTAGCACAAGTTAATGACATGAATATTAATTCCTACAGGAACAGCACACCGTCATCAAAGAGCTATACTATTATCGAAGAGAAACGGCTTGAATAAATTGAATTAAAGAATACCAGAGAAGAATATCAAAATGTCAAAATGTCCAAGGAATGTCCAAGGATAGAGGTGACAAGAAATAAAATAAAATAAATGATGGTAGACAGTGATACGTGGCACAAATAAATTAAAATATAGAAAATATATATAGAATAATTGTATGCAAACAAACCATAATTATATTAATATTAATACCATTTACAGAACTTTGTACCATCGTGAGTCAAAATAAACTAAATCTTAACAGTTACCTTGATTCAATTTAATTCAGAATGAATGAACAATGACAGCATGAAATGAACGACTGAACAATGAAATAATCAGTTAAAGATATTAAGAAGAATGAGGTAAATAATGAGGTAAATAATAAATAATAAGCATAAAGTAAAAGTGAAGGCCGTAACCAACCTAATGTAAATAATGTAATGTAATGCACTGTAATATAAGTAATGCAATATAATGCAAAACAGAATGCAATATAAACTGAATACAAAATACAAAATACAAGAAGTGAATTCAATAGATATAACCGTAAAGATTATTAACTACAATACTCTATTTCTTTACCAGAGTAGATTATAAGTTAGACTGTAACTGGTAAATGGTAGATGATAAATGGTCGTGTCAATACAACTGCAAATAGAACTAATTAATGAATGACATATCAAAATAGAGTAGCTAAAGTAACAAATAGATGAAATGAAATATAAAGTACGTAGTTCAATAAACACTGTACCAGTGTATGAACTGAAATAAGAATAAAATGAAATAAAATAGAATAAATAAATAAGTAAATAATAAATAAGAGTACATGAATGATAAGATTATAATAAAATTCACGCACAATCAAAGCATTTGGATGGACAAAACCACTTATCATAGTAGAGATAGCAAAACTTAATTAAAATAAGTAAAATAAGGTAAAATAAATCATATCCATTAACCTCAATTGATCAGAATGAGTGAGTGAATGAATAATGAATGAGTGAATGGAACGATTTAGGAAATAAAGAAGGTAAGAAGGCGTGAGTGAGAGCAAAAAGCATGGATGTGTCAGAACGAATAAACAATGAGAGAATGAAAGAATGAATGACTGAACAGTGAAATAATCAATTAAAGATAATAAAGAAGAATGAGGTAAATAGCAAGATAAATAATAAGGCATAAAATATAAAGTGAAGGCTGTAACCAACATAATGTAACTAATGTAATGTAATGTAATGTAATGTAATGTAATGTAATGTAAAACAAAATGAAATATACTAAATAGAATACAAAACACAAGAAGTGAACTCAATGAAATATAACCGTACAGATAATTAGCTACAACACTCCATTTCCTTTTCCTCACCAAAGTAGGTTATAAACTAAATTATAAATGGTAAATGATTATGTCAATGCAAATGCAAATAGAACTGATTATTGGATGATGTATCAAAATAAAATAGCTAAAGCAACAATGAAATGAAATGTAAAGTACGTAGTTCAATACACACTATACCAGTGTATAAACTGAAATAAGAATAAAGTGAAATAAAATAAAATAAAAATACAATAAATAAATAAGTATATAATAAATAAGAGTACTTGAATGATAAGATTATAATAAAATTCACGCACAATCAAAGCATTTGGATGGACAAAACCACCTATCATTGTAGAGAGAGCAAAACTTAATTAAAATAAAGTAAAATAAGGTAAAATAAATCATATCCATTAACTTTAATTGATCAGAATGAATGAGTGAAAGAATAATGAATAATGAATAATGAATGAATGAATGGAACGATTAAGGAAATTAAAGATTAAGGAAAATAAAGAAGGTGAATAAAGAAGATAATGAAAATAAAGAAAATAAAGAAGGTAAGAAGGCGTGAGTGAGAGCAAAAAGCAGGAATGTGTCAGAACGCATAAACAATGAGAGAATAAAAGAATGACTGACTGGACAGTGAAATAATCAATTAAAGATAATAAAGAAGAATGAGGTAAATAACCAGATAAATAATAAGGCACAAAATATAAAGTGAAGGCTGTAACCAACATAATGTAAATAATGTCATGTAATGTAATGTAATATAATGTAAAACAAAATGAAATATACTAAAATAGAATACAAAATACAAGAAGTGAATTCAATGAAATATAACCGTAAAGATTATTAGCCACAACAATCTATTTCCTCACCAAAGTAGATTATAAACCAAATTATTAATGGTAAATGGTAAATGATAAATGATTATGTCAATGCAAATGCAAATAGAGCTGGTTATTGAATGACGTATCAAAATAAAGTAACTAAAGTGACCAAGAAATCAAATCAAATCAAATGTAAACTGCGTAGTTCGATAAACACCATACCAGTGTATAGACTAACAATAAATAAATAAATAAGTAAATAAGTAAATAAGGATACTTAAATGATAAGATTATAACAAACCCTGCACCATCAAAGCATTTGAATGGACAAAACCACTCATCATCATAGAAATAAAAACTAAAGTAAAATAAATCATATCATATCCATTAATTTAACTTTAATTGATCAGAATGAATGAATGAATGAATGAGTTAATGAATAATGACTGAATGAATGGGAAGATTAAGGAAATGCAAGATTTAGAAAAATAAAGAAGGTAAGGAAGGTAACGTGAGTGAAAGAAGGCGTGAATGAAAGCAAGAAAGCGTGAATGTAATACAATATTATAAGTAAGTAAGTAAAGGAAAGGAAAGTAAATGAGCACCCACCACGCAACAAATAAACTACACAAAACTATTTACACCAAAAGCACAAAAGCAATCCCTCATCACACCATATCATTAAAACAAACACACTAAACCTGAAATAAACTAAAACAAAACAAAACTGGAACTGGAACAAGAGGAACAATTAAAAACACAACCCGGATTGTCCAATTTATTTATTTATTAATCAATTCAATTTATTTCAGCACATGTCACTGCTGCATCGTCCAAAATGAAATATGTAAGCCACGATATAAGAAAGAAATAAAGGAATAAATACGATGAATACTATGAATGAGATAATCGAATATCAAAATCGAAAGAACAAGAAAAGTAAACCACGTAACCACGTAACCAATAAACACGTTAAATACGTTGCACCACGGATATGAATCGATGAAAATGACAAATATAATAAAATAAAATAAATAAACCAAACAATAAGCCGAACAACCGGATGACAAGCGGACTACGTATTGAATCACAAAATAAAGGAAATAAATAAATGCAATACCCGTAATGACGCGAAAGATATTAAATAACATGAACCATGAGATATGAAATATGAATGTAGATGGTAAATAAAATAAATAAAATAGAATACGATGGGTAATGAAATAATAAGACGAGACAGCAATGTAAACCGCGTAAACCATTAACACATGAAAAAGCGTTATTAATATATATAGAACCAAATAGAACGGTAAATACGATAAGACGATAAATAAATTGAACAATTAAATCACGCAGAGGGACGTAAATTGCGCAGGTTTATTAATCACACAATTATACCGTTGCGAATAAATAAATAAATAAAAGACAACAATGAGATAAAATAAAATTACGGTAATAAAATAAATAAGACAAATAATGAATGTAACGCAAGTTGCATAAATTATCAAGGCACACTACCCCACTGTACTATAATAAATAAATAAAATAAATAAATGAAACAAATAACACAGAATAACACAAAATAGTGTTAAATATCAATATGTAAGTATAAACAGCGAAGGAAAAGTAAAATAAAATATAGAACACTATAAACGATAAAATAATTAAGCGATACATAAAATAAAATGAAAATTGATAAAAGCGTTAAAATGACAATAGAAAATAATGAAAATAATAAAATAAGATAAGAAAATAAGAAAATACGATGAATAAATATGCAAAACCGGAAACACCGGATAATCGAATAATCGAATCGATTAATCGAATGTGTTAATAAACAAATAATTAAATAATACAGCGGAATAACGTGCCAGTCAAACACATGCAACCAGATAGTAAAATAAAGTAAATTAATATTAATAATACACATAACGAAGGAATATCGAAAAATATTGAAAAAATATCGATGCACTTTTACACAAATCACTTAATAAACCGACGCAATTAACGGAAAACAAAATAAAATGAGAATAAGAACAGAATAAAGGAATAAAAATAATACGTCACCAAACCGTTGACCTAATTTCCCATCGTCTGTCCTCTTCTATCCAAGGCCCGGGCCGCGCGTGCAGGTTGACTATCCTTGTCCAACCACAGCAGCCATCTTGAAAACCTGTCAATCCTGTCTGATCTTGCATGCGTTGTCTTCATTAATTGAATCACAAAAAGTCACAAAAAACGCGGAATTTTAATGCGAAACGTTCCCGATTAACCAAAATTGTCCGTAAATAATGTCTAATGTTCATAATTAACGCCACGAATACCGGGAACACACGTGGAAATGCCGCGTAACACGCACATCACATTTTCGTTATTTAACAATAAATTAACACATTATTTAATCACAAAACACAACAATAGCACTCCCGAACACTTAATAAACACTATTTAACAAAAAACGCGAATAAATAAGCCGCTTTTCACCGCGTTGCGAAACTAACCACGGAGCGACCACGAAACACGTCCGCTCTCCTCGACGCGTCGAGCGGGAATCCCACCCTAACCTAACCCTAACCTAACCCTAACCTAACCCTAACCCTAACCCTAACCTAACCTAACCCTTTTTTTTTTTTTTTTTTAATTTTAACGAGGTGGGAAAAATGCATTTATGCAGACCGGGCTAGGTGTTGTGCGCCCGGTACTGTGGGACTCCCATAAGGACTATCCAGTAAAAAACCCACCTCGATTTCCCTTTCCAGGGGCCTACGGCTAATAAACTCCGCCCCCGGAACAGCTGTGGGCAGTGGCCTTTAGCATTTCTTCGGGGGCGGGCTACATGAAAAAGGCAGACTCATTGCCGTGGGGGGTGGACTACCAGTCCCCCACCAGTGACACCACGGGTAGGAAAGAGATGATCCTTTCCTCCTCTTCTAACCGTCCTTCTTCGGCGTTATCCACGCCCACAAACCAACCCATCATGGGGGTAATAATACGCCT